CCGGACCCCCCCCCTCACACTCTTCGAGTTGTGCAGTGAACATAGCAAAACATACACATACCATAATCACTACCTCACCCTTCCCCAACCGCATCAATAAACGAACTATGGGCTGCGCACCCGTGCCCTCATGGTAAGTCAATGGATAGACCCCCTCCTTGCAGACAGCTAAGCATTACCCATGAGAGAGATACCGAGGGGGTGCGGGAGTCTACATAGACTCCCATTGACTTACCGTGAGGGGGCTGCGCATTACGGCCAACTGGTATAATGAAGGATGACGAAAAAATGTCTCCATGTCTCAAAGGGGGAAAAACGCACCCCTGACGGGCTGCGAACTGGCCACCGTCTATACCCTTTACCCTTTCGTTCCAGGGGCTGCCTGTAGCTTGGTAGTTACCCTCTGTCTTCTCCAAGCTCCACCGTCGGTGAGGTATCTCCTTCCTACGGGCCTCGGGATTGACGATACCACTTTGTTGAGCATGTCCTGAGGCAGGAGTTTGGCTGACCGGTAAGTGCAAATCAAAATGCCTAATCGCTATTAGCGCTAAGCTCCGCTTCGCGCACGCGAAGAATAGCGGTGGATCAGCGCAGGATTAGCACCGGGCCCTCCTCCTCTCCCCTGCCCAGCATTTGAGGGTGGGGAGAGCAGTACCGCGAGGTTTGGGGGGCTGTGATAATCAACGTGCGCAACTGGCGGTCGATTTTCGTATTCATAATCCACGGTCGGGAAGGAGCATCTGAGGAACTGGGACCTCGCCCAGGTGTCAGGTCCGCTGGGTGGCGTTGCGGGGCACTTCGCCTGGGTGGCCAAAGCGGAGAGTCGCGCGAAACGCCGACCCTGGCATACAGTGGGCCAGGGGTGAATATGCGGCGAATTTGCGGTAAATTTGCAGGACTTGCACAAAACGAATAGAAAACGGGCTCCAAAATTGGAGGGATCGAAGCGCGGGGCGCTGTCTGTTTGCCGCAGTCGACCTCTGAATGGGGAGCGACTTCCCGAACTACCGGTAGAAACCGGGGGCTAGGTCCCGCTTACATACACGAATAAAAAGATATTGACCGTAGATAGGACAGATCAACGGTCAGAATCTCGTAATCCGTGCAAGTGGGACCTTGCCCCTGGATCGCCGAACCTAAAATGCGGGATGCGGGAGTGGGACCGTGCCTCTCCTGTTCCCACGTCCGTGGCAAACCCTTCGTATCTCGAACGCGACCTGATGTTTGAAAACCTGTCAGGCGCGACTCGTGAGTTGTGATGGGTTTTACGGTAATCAATCGTGCCCATGTTGTTGCTTCGCCATAACCCAGCGAAGAAGGTGAGTCACACACAGAGAGCTCCCACTCGTACCTGCTTTCCCTTCCGGAAAGGCCAGACAGGAGGCAAGCTCCAGTCGACTCTCTCCAGCTACTAAGGCCTTGAGAGGAGTTCCTGTCGGCACTGCAGATCACTCGCCTTCTACAATGTCCCGCGATTAGAGCCGAACGAGGTGAGCTCTGTTCGCAATGCCCCTTGCTTCATCTTCCTACCCCTGCGTCTCGGTTTCCTAATCGTTTCCCCCCCCCCCCCCTCTCTCTCTCTCTCTCTCTCTCTCTCTCTCTCTCTCTCTCTCTCTCTCTCTCTCTCTGTTTTCTTTTCGCTAAACACGTCCACGAAAGAAGGAAAGGACAGCTGTGACAGTGTTTCGCCGAGGCGGGGTGTTCGTGTGTTTGCGTGTGTGTGTGGGGGTGCGTGTGTTTGCTCTCTCTGTGTGTGTGTGTGTGTGTGTGTGTGTGTGTGTGTGTGTGTGTGTGTGTGTGCTTGTGTTTGCAGCTGTATATTGTAATCTGGAGGTCAAATGGATGTGAAGGTTGTTGGTGCGAGTCGAGCCTAATATCTTATCCCACTCGTCTCTGTTTGTTTGCTGATTTCTCATCTTCTCTATTCTTTGTATTTGTAGTCTGTTCCGCGATCCATCCATTTGTCGGTCTAGGAGAGAATCATGGTGCCGAGGATGACGATGATGCTGGTGATGATGATGCTGAGAATAATGGTGACAATGATGACGAGCGATTGATCTAAAATAGACACGAACGGTCAATGAAACGTGGACAACATCTGGTGTGCCGTCCATACATACATGCTCGCTCATGTGTACGAATCTTGGCAGGTTTTTATTATGGAAGTGCATGGAATTCACTCTTCCCCCCGACCTGGGGGTGATGTGACTCTTGTGCATCTGCTGAACGGTGCGATTTGGCTTTTGATGCCCTATGCATGACTACCCGTCTTCCCCCGAACATAACGCATGCTCATTATGAATGTATACAAGCTAGTTTTCCGGTTGGGTGAGGTCAACATGTGGTGCGTTTGTCCGGGGGAAGCGGCCAGGTTAAGATGTATTTGCAGTATGTGGTGATCCATTGGAATTGCAAGGGCAACGGGTGCGCGGCTCTCGTCTCTGCAATCCGTATTTGTGGGTATGTGGTGAGGTGATGCCTAACTGCGAGATTTGTGTGCAGCTCGGTGAATGGCTAACGGCCGCGTTGTGCGTGACTTTTTGTGGTGTCCGCTCCGTGAATGACTAACGGCCACGTTGTGCGCGACTTTTTTGTGGTGTTTTGTGCTTGAATCGCCTCGATGGCCTCCCCCTCCCCCTCCCCCTCCCCCGGCGGATGCAGGCGTGGCAGATACATGCGGATGCGAGTGGATGGGGGAGGGATCAATCTGTGTAGCTGGGAGGGGTGAGAATCTGTTGACGTCGCCAGGAATTCGCGTAGTTGAACCTGCGTCGTCCGCGCGGGAACCCGTGTCGGCATCTGAGCCGCGCAATTCGTCGCTGGAAACCGCAGCGTTGATGTTATGTGAGCTAAGGACGGCGCAACACCGGGTGAATGGACACTCTTCCACCGAGAAGAAGGTGCTAGCTTCGGCGGCGTTTATGGCGGCTGCTTCGTCTGGTTTTCCGGGAAGGGACAGGACTCAGGACCTCCTTAAAGACAACAATAATTCCTTCAGTTGCTGTTCTGAAGAAGACGGCGAGCACGGATTGAACGGGACCGCGTTCTCTGGATTGGGCGGCAGTCCCAAGACCACGACGTTCTCTGGCTTGGGCGGGAGTCCCAAGACCACGACCTTCTCTGGATCGGTGGGCGAGAGTCCCAGGACCACGACGTTCTGTGGATTGGTGGGCGAGAGTCCCAACGTGGTGGAAAATTGTGCGACTCCACACTTATCCTCGCTCTGCTCCTCGCCAGCTTCGGCAACTCGTCGAGTCGTCGACTCGTCGATCAACGGATCGCGATCCCGATCCAGTGTTGACATCAACTGTCCCGTATTCGATCTGAACTCTCCCTCTTGCAGCCCGCGCAGGGGCGGGAGCATCTGCGGTGGCGGCTATGGAGGCGGAAGCTGTCGCAGCGACGATGCTCTCGTAGGAGGAGGAGGAGGAGGAGGAGGAGGAGAAGCGTTGGATGCCGTTGCGTTGGCGAAGGAAGGAGGAGAGGGAGTGGTAGACGGACAGGCGTTGAGGCCAACATCAGGAGAAAGGTGCGCGGTGATAGGAGGGCGAGGAGGAGGAGGAGGAGGAGGAGGAGGAGACGGGAGGACGGCAGGAGCTTCTTCGCTGGACGATCTTGCTGTCTCTAGGTGCCGATTGTTTTCTTTGTCGCTGATGGGTGGCGGTCGAGAGGTTGCAGGATCGAGCCTTAGCAGTGGTAACGGCTCGGAGGGGCATGGGGGAGATAGTGTATGCTCGCTTCGTACGAGCAGTAGTTTGTCTTCTCGCTGTTGTTATCACTGCTGCCGTTGTGGGGGGCGATTCACTGCCGCAGCTGACGGCGACGGCGGTGTCATCTGCGAAGTGCGTCGGAACGACTATCATCACTCCATCGTGGACATCATCTCGCGGCTGCTGATGGCGGAGCTGGAGGTGGGCCGCGGCTACGGCAAGCGCAACCATGGGGGGTCGTCATCTATGTGCAGGAGTGTGGTGAACAGCGTGGACGGAGAAAGCGTCAGCACCGGTCCAATCAGCGGGGGAGAAGGAGTGAGGAGGAGCCACGCGTGCTGCTGTCCCTCCTGTTGGGAGGCAGAGAGACCCTCCTCCGCTTCCCTCGTAGGCGAGGCGAAATCCGTCGACGAACAAGAAGACGGAATCCGTTTGCGGAGCCAACTCGGCCGTTTGAACGAGCGGCTTTACGATCTGCAGCTCGAGATGGGTCGGCTGGAGGTGAGGATGGTAGGCGCCGCCACGTTTTTGTCCCCGCCCCCTCAATCAGCTGACTGCGCCGAGTCTCCGCCTTTGCCGTTGTACGCACGATCAGCGCAGCAGCAGCAGCCATCGCCGTGCGTCCACGTGGACGGTGGGGCGGCGGTGGGAGGTGAGCAACAGTTGGCGGTGACTGCATCAGTGGGAGCAGCAGCGATAGCCACCGCGGCAGGAGGCAATCGTGCTCGCGAGGCGGCGAAGGAGAAGGGGGAGGAGGGGGGGGCGGGGAAAGAGGAGGAGGAGGAGGAGGAGGGCGATAGGCAGTACTCTCCGCCGACGGGGGTATCCGCGATGGCGGCCGGTGTGAGAAATCGATCTGCTTCAGAGGACGGGCTACGCTCCTCTCCCCGATCTATGTGCTGCTGCGCTCCTCCTCCGACGAATGACCGACAGCAGCGAGGCATGATGGCAGTGGAGAACGGGGCGACGATGATGAGGGAGGATCACCGGGAGCATGGGGTGGAGGAGTACGGGTTGCGGCGGCATGTCATCAACGAGCAATCGCGTTCGCAGGGATCGGGATCGGTAATGAGCAGCGTCCCGACTAAGGCGAATGGCTCTCGCTTCGTCGATAACGGCGCGGACGAAGACGATAACGACGAGGGCGGACGGCGAAGAATGGTCGAGGATGACAGCAATCATGGTGGTGAGGGGCCGCGGAGGGTGGTCGCAGCGACTGGGACTGGCGGCGCGGCGGCGACGCAAAAGGGATTGGTGCCGCAAATGATATTCGAGGAAGGCAAGTCGGCGGATGGACTGCAGCCGATCCCGCCGGCTTCAGCGGCGGGATCGCTGTTATTGTCGCTAATCCGCCGGGAGTCGGAGTCGCGTGGTGACTTGGGATGCGGCGGAGGAGGAGA